ATCACCAGACACTTCTTTTGTAATTAAGTTTGGGTGATTGTAATTTATTGAATTTAAAATCAACTTCATTATCTCTAACAGAGAACCTTAAAAATTTTTTGACATTCCTTGAAGAACTTAGTACTCCAGAAGGAAAATGGCAATGGAAAGTCCACTGTAAATTTCAGAAAAAACTTAAGGAACTGGGAAGGTGAGATTTCAAAAAAAACTATATGATGGTTGTTGACTTAACATTTTGTGCATGTGGATGTTGACAAAATTTCTTTCTGAATTTCTGTTTTTTTAGATTATGGATGCTGTTCAGTTTTTCCTTAACCAGCCATAAGGGAATGTGATACTAAATTATTCTAGCCTATTTGCAAGTGATATTGTTTAGGTAGAAGTTTGCTGATAGTTCTAGTTATATATATAGGTAAAATTGGTTTAATCTTTGCTACTTGGGGGTTTTGAATAATAATCAAAATGGAATAATCAGTAGTCTTTATTGTTTTTACTGAAGTGTGTATGCTAACTAAATCAGGCTTTCTCCCATTTGAGGGTTACCTTAGGCTGCTAATTTAATAACAGCTCACTTAACTGAGACAAAGATTGGTCTCAACATGATATGGGGATTTGTGATCAGGACATTCACTTATGTCCTAATCACCTACATGGCCAGAAGTCACTTTTCTTTCTTTCTTTTTTTTTTTTTAAATATATTTTATTGATTTTTTTACAGAGAGAGAGGGAGAGAGATAGTTAGAAACATCGATGAGAGAGAAACATCGATCAGCTGCCCCCTGCACATCTCCTACTGGGGATGTGCCCGCAACCCAGGCACATTCCCTTGACCGGAATCGAACCTGGGACCTTTCAGTCCACAGGCCGATGCTCTATCCACTGAGCCAAACCGGTTTCGGCCAGAAGTCACTTTTCAAAGTGTGAACCTTGGAGCAACAATCACTTTGGGAGGCTACTAGAGAGTCCATACAATGTATTCACATATGTAAGGATCTGACCAACTCTGTAGTTAAGAATTCTGTTTTACATTTTGTCAACCAGCATTTCTTAAACTTAGATCACAAAATATTTCTAATATTTATTGATATTCCATGGTACACACTTAGGGAAATTTATGCTTAAATAATTTTAAAGTATTTAACTTTTGATAGTAATTCTTTTTTTTTCTTTTAATCCTCACCTGAGAATACTTAGTTTCACAGATTTTAGAGGGAGAGAAACGGGGAGGGCGGGGACGGGGGGAGAGAAACATGGATTGGTTGGCTGCCATATGTGGTCCAACCAGAGATCAAACCCACAGCCTAGGCATGTGACCTGACCAATTGAACCTGCAACCTTTTTGGTGTAGGAGACAACATGCCAACTAACTGAAGCCACCCAGCCTGGCGGTAGTAATTCACGTTTTAAAAGCTTGTTTCACCTTCAGATCTTATCTTTACATAACATAGCAGTACTGAGGCCCAAAGTTCTAACTTGTACAAAGTTAATACCATCCTGTTCCTGACAGTAGTCAGTCGTTTGTACTATTTATTGTTCATTTATTTTTTTTGTTACCCATTTATGCCTTCACTAAAGTTCTAAATTGGGGAAAATAAAAACTGTAAATTCGTTACTTAATAAGTGACTGGTTGAGATTTTAGTCTACACTGAATAGCTGGCCCTCAAGCTTTGCCTGCAGAGAAAGCCCCTGAACTTTACATGTGGTTTGCACAATTGCTGCTCTCTCCCCCTCTCCCCTAAGAAGCACCCCTTTATCAGGCAGTGGGCTAAGCAATGCAGTTGTCATTAGTTGCCTCAAGTTAGAGATTATAGTTTTAATTTGAAGCAGAAACTTCCACAGTAAATTTTAGGAGATACTGAACTACTTATTTTCACAGGTTGAATGCTAAAGCTCTAAGTCTGTTGACGCTTCTGAATGTCTATCAGAAGAAACATCTGGTTGAAATTTTGTCTTACCACAATTGTGATTCACAAACACGAAATGCTCCAGAATTGGACTGCCTTATCAGACTTCAGGCGCAGAATATACAGCAACGACACATAGTCTTTTTAACAGGTAAGCAGTGGTCTTCAGCTTTCTACTAGTAATATAAGAATGTAGATGAAAGGATTTTGTGGGGCCATAGTGGGTATTGATTGCTAAGCTATGATTCTGATAAGGGTGGTGGAAAGAATTTTAGGAGGGCTGGGAGGAGGCATCATTTGTCCATGCACATTTTTAAGTATTTTACACTCAGAACATTTTCTTTTTAATTTAGAAAAGAATATCCAGATGCCCTCCAGTTATACAGATAGTGGAATAGTAGTTGCATCTGCTGAAGCTTTTATGCAAAACTTTAAAAATCTCGTGGGCTATCACAACTCAGTCACAGAAGAAAACCTTCCACTGCTTGGTGCTAATGAGACTCTTGAGTCGCAGTCAGGTAATGTTTTAGTAGTTTTCCTTTTCTTTAAGGCAGACAGAAAGAGGAATGTTTTCACTCTTTTCATATGATGAGATGCCTATTTTGAAACCACTCACACCACAGGTAAACAGCTTCAGGGAAGTGTTTCAATGAATTTATCATTTTTAGTATACACAAAATCTCATTTATTATACAGTAGTCAATACAAGCTGTTCGTTTCTGTGACCTACACACTATAAAGTAGGCATTTTCTCTTTGAGGTATTGTAAGCTTTATTGGCTGCTGTTGTCAGCGAAGGGGTTATATTTTTTAAAAGGACACCAGAAGTGGGGATTTGGCATTGGGGTACTAAATATCCCCAGATGTACAAAGTAATTTAATACAAAGTAGTAGGGATATCCATAGCTTTAGTCTTTCATGCCATTAATGGCCTCTGCTTTGGTTCCAGGTTTTATGTAAAAGATGCCTTTTTGTTTTTGATGAAAAGCAGAGATCATTTGATAGAGCTAACCAGTTTAGTAATCCAGTGAAGCTAGATGTCAGAATTTTTATTTTGTATTTGTCTTGTCAAATACTGAATTACCGTATAACTTTAGATGCTGTTTTGACATTAACCCCTTTGGAGCTGGGAGTTGGGATTTCCCAACATTAAACGTGAACACATTTCGCAGAAGCTTTTAGCATCGGATTATCTGGACATTCACACCTAGTGTGAGTGTTGTGACTAAGTGAACTTGTGGCAGAAGACCAAGATTTAAGGGATTGTGGACTTGCAGACCCTGACGCATTATATTGTGTGAGTAGTGTATAATTTTAAAATTTAAATTGTGTATTTCAATAGAGTAGGACTTTTTGTTTTTTAAATGTAGCTCTTTTAGAAAACGATGAAAAGGATGAAGAGGATATGTCTCTGGATTCAGGGGATGAAATCTCAAAAATAGAAGTGTACAGCAGTTCAGAAATATTGGCGAAAGAGACCAAAGGATCACGTGGAACAGATCTAAATAAGAATATTCAAATTGAGTTGCAATCGTCTCTTGACGTGCAAAAAAGTTTATTAGAAGATAAGACTTATCAAATTGATTCTGAAGAGAGAGCTTCGGTTGATGCAAGCTCTGAAGGACAGAACAACAATTCAGCTGAACAAGATTCATATAGCAACTTTCAGGTTTATCAAAATCAATTAAATATGTCCCATCAGTGTAGTCATTTTAATGTTCTCACTCACCAGACATTTTTGGGAACACCATATGCCCTTTCATCGAGTCAGTCTCAAGAAAGTGAAAATTACTTTTTATCTGCTTATACTGAAAGCTTGGGGGAAAAATGATTTTGCAGGCCATCTTCAAAAGAGAAATAATTACAGTTAACTTTTTTTACATAGGTTGTTAATGGACTTTTTTTCTGTTTCTTAAAAGTGAATTAACAATTTATATTTCATTCTTTAAGCAAGAGGTTTCTGTCCTTTCTCAAATGTTTTTCCCCCTCTTATTTAAATCATGATGGCCTGTTACAGTTAAAGCATATGAAAATTGAAATAAATATATATATATATTTTTAACATATATTGTACTTGAATTATCTCATGTTGGCACTTTTTAAGTTTTATGTTTGTATGTTATCTGTACTTTGGCTTCAAATTGAAGTCTTTTATATATAAAACAAGGTGTTTGCAAAAGGATAGTGAACAGCAATGGCTTTCCTCTATTGTTAGATGATACCAACTACTTTTGCTGAAATGATGTATCAACTATTGTATTTATTTTCACTTAAGCTTTTGTATAGTGTTTTTACACAGGTATAAGCCAGTGATACTAATATTTACAGGATTTTGGCTCAATACCTCAAGATTTATCTAACAATTCCGTTTCATTTTTAGATTATAAACTATGTACATAAGACTTAGGCCTTAATACCAGGCAGCATTATTTTTTATCTTCTGGCATGTTGCTAAAATTCTGGTCAACCTATTATTTTAGAGTACTTGATAATTATTTCCAGTGCTTATGTGACCCTTGACTTATCCTAATTCAATTTCAAAAAATAGGTTTATTAAAGGCACTGGACAATTTGGAACAAACCCTTTGCCTATAAATTTATAAACTGGTAGTCTTAGAAAAGAAGTATCTTTCTGAGGTGGTAAGTACTTTAATGCTAGATTAAAATAACTTTTTAAATTCACAGATAAAGTATGTGGTGGAGACAAATTTTAAACCCACAGCTATTGCCAATAACTGCCTCCCCATTACTAATGCAAACTTGTAAAAGTCATAAAAGTTGGGATCTGTTAAACCAGACTTTTCCTTTGGCACTTCAAAAGAAGACCTTTAAATGTTTTATAGAGCAAAATACATAGGCATTTAAAAAGTGTGGAACAACATTGTCTATTAACAGATTACAGACTCCAGGCTGTGTTAAGGTAAGTAGGAATGTGTTTTTATAGGACTTAATACCCAGATTGTGACAGAGCAGAAAAGTGTTTTATTGTTAAAAAATTATTATATATACATATACAGCATTTTACTACAGAATATACAAATTTTAAATAAGCATTTAAAAATAAATCTAGGCTATTTGAAAAAATACAGTTAAGCAACGAGGACATTTTATAATTTGGAAGACAAATGTGAAGGATTTTTCTATATTGAAAATGAAGAACTAAAGTTATCTTCTTGATTGGCAGCTAAAGGCATGAGATTAGTTTCCAACTCCCTTTGCTTCTGGAGAAGGCCCTGAAATCACATCGATATGTTAGTAAGGTGTGTAGCTATTACAATATTTGAAGATTATATTTTTAGTATAGAAACAAATAGGGATGACTTTATTCTTAAAGTCAATATATTTATGGGGCTGAAATTCCCCCCTTTCTGTCCGCCAAATGCTCTAGTGCAGTGATGGCGAACCTATGACACGTGAACTCTTTTGGTTGATTTTTCTTTGTTAAATGGCATTTAAATATATAAAATAAATATAAAAAAATTTCTATACGTGAGATAGCACCAGAGTTAAGTTAGGGTTTTTTCAAAATGCTGACACGCTGCTGACACGCCGAGTTCAAAAGGTTCGCCATCACTGCCTAGTGTTTATCTTGCCTGCACTAACATTAGTGCTAATACAAAACCCTGCTGAAATAATATGGGGATGAATGTGTACATCATATTCCTTCATCCTGACCTGTCTCCACAAAGTTGTGTTAGGTAAAAAATCTAAATCTGTATGAAACCAAACCTATCATTTAAAAAAACAAAACAGTTTTCTTCATAATCCTGTGTTAGTAAGGATTATTTTCTAGGTCTACAGAAAGAACTAGTAAGCAATACTTGAATCACCAATTTGCAATGCAAGAGGCATTGCTGATAAATGACTTAACATGGAAAAAGGCATTCCTAAAATGGCAGTGTATTTTCCCCAAATACAAAAGGCACACTGTGAATCAAAACAGCAGAAAAAATTTTGCGAGCCTTTTTTTTTTTTAAAGCTAACTGATGGAGAAAGATTAAAATTCACAGTAATTGGTCTGGGATAAAAAGTAGTCTGAGTAAGGTTATACATATAATTTCATATTGCATTCTATTCTTTGGGACTTGTGTCAATGTTCAATTCTAAACACTGCCAACACATCCACTTTTTAAAAGTGTGAACTGCATTTCTAAGAATCTCTTATACCATAATTGTATATTTATTTTCTGCCTTTGGTTTTAGGGCCTTATTGATTGGTCATGTCTTACAATGTATGAATTTGTTTTTCATTCAATAAAAATGTCTTAATATTTGAACTGTATCATTATTTGATGCTGGAAATTCTTAAAGCATGGCTAAGTGAAGCAAACTGAAAGTTGTTTCAATTCAAGAATAACATATATAGGGTGGGGCTAAAGTAGATTTACAGCTCTTATAGAAAATAATACAAAAATATAAACTATAAACCTACTTTTTCTCCATCCCTGTAGATAATGATTTTTAACTGGGATGCAGTCACATAAATCATGTAACCAACCTGGCATTTGGTAAAACAGTCATCCCGACACAGAAAAGTCATATCCACACTTCATAAAAGAAAAGTTCATACCTGTCTCAGTTCTGATAGTCCCTTTAGGATTGCTTGCTGTCTATCCCTGTTTTTCACCAAGTTAGGATTAAGAAGTGGGTCCCTGTCCAAGTCAAATAGCTGTCGTTCTTGGTCACAATCTAAAGCCAGATGAAAATGACAAAAAAATTTCTATGATATATATATAGCACTATGCTATAATATATTCTAAGGATTCATAATAAATTTATATCCTAGGAAAGCACCAAGCAAAATTTAATAATGGACCTCAAAAAACTTGGGCAAACCTTAAGATACTTTCTAGGATAGGAATACCAATTTTGAATTTACAATTAAAGGGGAGAATACTTACTATGTGGATTTTGATACTGAGGATCCTGGGTTAGAGGCCTAGACAATGGCGCATCTGGATCAAGGTAATAGATCTCATTGGTTCGAACATAGGGAATAAAATGAGATGGTTCAGAAATCCTGGGTGATAACTCTGTTTGATTGCCTCCTGAGATCAGATCCTCTCTTTCGTAATTACTCTTTTTCAGTGTCTGTTGAGTTCTGTTTTTCATCACAGGAACTGGTGGTGATTGACACCTGTATTTTTCAAAAAAAAAGCATAAGGACCAATGTAAATTGTATATTTCAGATTAACCATACCTAATCTTTAATTACATTTCAATTTATCCTAAATGTACTTATAACACCTTTAGAAACAGAACGGGATTAATTTGAGTTTTTAATAGTACTTGCTAAAGATATGTATACTCTCCTGGGGGTGGAGTGGGATAGGGATTAAACTACTAGATCCTGGGGGTCAACACTAGGTTATTTAATTCTAATGTTTCTCAATTCATCATAAAGTAATATACTTACATCTGACCTAAACTTGCTGTTAGAGCCACATTCTGAGACAACTCTGAACCAGCTATTTCTTACATACAGACATAAAAATTCTAAGTTATAAATCTCTCATTGGTTAATTGAATTTTTCATTATTCACACCAGTCATTTCTTCCCTCCCCCCACACAATCCAAGCAGAATGTCTTAGATTGACACTTGTTTACATACCTAAACCCAATCCAACTTAGCCTTCAAAATCTAGGTAATTTTAAATGCCAGCTACCCTTTCCCTTAAACCTCTATTCCTCACCTCAAAATCACACTTTCCTGTTTCTGTCTTCAAATACATATATACTTGACCTCACCTATATTTTGAGCAAATATGTTGTATCTCTTGTACCACATACACAGTACTAACTATGGAAATCAATCTATTCATAACATACCTTTCTTTGCTGAAATAATTAATTTTCAGAGGTTCTTCTTCCTAAAAGATGGATAAATGCAGAAAATAGTAATAGTATTTGCATATGTTTCCACAATACTTTGTGTTTATTTGTTGAAAAAAACCTAAGGATAATATTTGGATAAAAGATACTAGATGGACTTTGTAATTTTCCAGAGTCAGAACCAATCCATTATTTTCTGATTTTATAAATTATCCTCTGTCTATATGGATCATAAGTTCTGAATGGGTATTTGAATAAAGAACAGCTTTAATCTATATAAGGTTTAAGGGTAAACTTTTTCTATAAAGGACCGGATAGTGAACACTTGCCTTTCTAGGCCATGTGATCTCTGTTTCAACTACTATAAATAGCAGCTGTTGTGTGAAGCCAGCCAAAGTAATACATAAAAGAATAAGCATAGCTGTGTATCAACAATTTTATTTACAAGAGCTGGCAGCAGGATGGATTTGCCCATGGGCCATAGTTTGCCATCCCCCAGTGTAAACCAACTCCAGTTCAGACATAGAAAGAGCCTTGTGAAAACATGCATGTGGGGAACTGTGTTTTCAATCTAGAACATCAGTACATGTTCTTAAATATATTTTAAGATAGAAGAGCTTTCTTTACCTTTTTGACTAAATGCCACCTGAACTTTGGCTCTGTGTCTTGATGAGATGAATGAAGAACTGGTGAAGTGCCTCTGTTTTGAGAGAGGTTTCCAGGATTATTTCTTTCTACTAAATGTAGCAGTTCCATTTGCCTTCTTACTTTTTTTTCTTCTCTCTGCTTTTGAAGCTGTTTAGGGTACTTTTCTGATGCTGGAATATACCCTTTGAGTGGTTTATTTATATTCCATTCAGGTCTTTTAGAACATTTCTTCATATGTTTTGTTTGTTTCTCTGTTCTTGTGAACTGACTACACTGGTCATTACACCAACTGTTTTCTTTTTCTAAGTTGGCTCCTTTATTCTGACTTCTTAGTTCTTGTTTTTTCTGAGTGTTAAACTGTTCATTAAATTCTGCAGGAATCTCGGGAGATGAACAATGTATAATTTCCCTTTCCATTACTGATCCACACTGTGATTCTGCGCTGGTGAATATTGCAATATTTAAGTCATCTGAAAAAAGAGCTTAATATGATTCTTAAAATTGTGGTTAAAATATACCTAACAGGATTTACCATTTTAAAATAATAATTGTTGTATTACTGCCCTCTAAAATGTTTTTCTTAAAATTCTTAAAACACATTCTATACCCATTAAATATCTCCCCATGCCTCCCACTTCAGAGTCCCTGGCAACCACCATTCTACTTGTTTCTATGAATTTTATTACTAAGTGCCTCATGTAAGTAGTCACACAGTATTTGTCTTCTTGTGACTGGCTATTTTTCACTTAGCATAATGTCCTCAAAGTTTATCCATGTTGTAGAATGTGTCAGAATTTCTTCCCTTTTTAAGGCTCAATAATACACTGTATACCACATTTGTTTATCCACTCATTTGTCAAGGGACACATAGGTTGTTCCCATTGTTAATAACGCTGCTATGAATATGGGTGTCCAGATATCTTTTAGAGATCTTACTTTCCAGTTCTTGCAGGTATACAAGAATTCCTAGATCATATGATTTTCTATATGCACCATTTTACATTCCCACCAATAATGCACAAGGGTTCCAATTTCCTCCATTAAACCATTTTAAAAAATCTATTTTTATTGATTTTAGAGAGGAAGGAAAAAGGAGATAGAAACATCAATGATGAGAAAGAATGAATGATCGGCTTCCTCCTTCCACACTGGGAATCAAACCGTGACCACCTGGTTCATAGGTCAAAACTCAACCACTGAGCCTGTGGCTGGGCTTTTAAACCATTAAGTGTACAGTTCAGTGGCATCAAGCACACCTTCAATGCCACACAATTTTAGAAACTTTCAACACCCCAAACAGAAACCCTGTACCCACTAAGCAGAATCTCCCATTTCATACACTCTCCCAGGCCCAGCAAGCTCCACTCCACTTTCCGTCTCTAAATTTGTTCACCCACCCTAGGTTTCTCAAACAAGTGGATCATCTATGCCAGGGGTGGGCAATCTTTTTTCTGCCAAGGGCCATTTGGATAATTATAACATTCGTAGGCCATATAAATAATCAACTTAAAAATTAGCCTGCTATATTTGGTCAAACATGTAATTAACTCATCCCTAATGCCTTGGCAAGGCTTTATACAATCTGCAGGCCGGATGTTCCCCACTCTTGATTATGTTATACTATATATCAGAACTTCGTATGATTCATTCGTAGCATCACATAATATAGACCATTTTCTTTTAGACCATTTTTTAAACAGAACCCCACAGGATTGTCTTGGCTTTCACTTGAATATATAAACACCATATGTAATACCATCTTATATACTTAAGTATACTTCTGAGAAAAAGTCTACATTTTTTCTATCAACGGTAACTGACAAACTTTTCATCAAAAGCAATGTAAAAAATATCTTGTGAGATGTGAAGTTTTCTTGGTTTGAAATTAGCAAAGTACATAAAAATAAAAGGATCTGGAAAATATCCTTCAGTTTTCATTCCAGAGGAACTGGGGGAAAAGAACTCCTCTCTTGGAACCAAATTTTTAGGGAAATGTTGTTGATATAAAGTCATGTTGCATTTCATGTTCTTTTACCATTCCTATGCCATAAGCATCTATAGACTCAAGTGACGGGCCTTTTTAAATTCAAAATAGTGTGGCAGTTAACTAGTTTAAGTCCTTATCTCATATCTCACGTACCATTGTGCTTTCCCTGCAGATCATTGCTGAATCACATACAACCTTTCACTTTTTTCCATTCTAAAAAACAGGAAAAGTTTCACCACTCAAGAAAAAGAGATACTGAAAATTTTCTCTCTCTCTCTCTCTCTCTCTCTCTCTCTCTCTCTCTCTCTCTCTATATATATATATATATATATGGCTAAGTTACCTATTGTATGTCCGTCTGACTGGTACATATGACGTGCAATGGCAATTTAAAAATAAATGTTGACTCGTGTGTGTGCGATACATATAAAGCACTCGCTGGTGCCAATCTAGACAGAGTAGGAATATTCCTACCTGAACAAGTTTTCGGACATGGTCAGTTATAATGTTGCTTTCTCTCAAGTTCAAACAGCGTGTGACATTAAAGTTGTAAATACTTCATCACAAGGGAAATTAGTCAAGCACTCAAAGTGTTTTTACTCTTAATGTGGTATACAGGGAGATATTAGAATAAGTTTAATCAATTTATCAGTCATTGTTTTTATCAATGTTTTTATATCATGTCTTTGTTATAATGTTTATCAATTTATTTTCATATATATTTTACTAATTTTCTTTCATCTCTGACATTCTACTATAGAGAAAGGGCGAATAGTGATATTAAAATATTTCTTCTAATTAATTTCCTTTCAATGTGCAAGAATCTGTGCACCGGGCCACTAGTTAAATTTTAATATTCAGTGATGTGCTCAGCTAGCACAGCTGTACTATATAAACAACTGAACAACCACCTTGCAAAGACTTTAACTTATGATTAGAATTTTAAATTTACAAGTAACTAAAGGGTTCTTTATTCTGTTCCATTGACCTATGTGTCTGATAACAAAATGACTAATGAGAAGGTAGCACACAGATACAGAGTAGGTTTCCTGGACAAAAGAATGATTCATGTCCTAGGTGGGACAGTACAAGATTTCATCATACCACTCAGAATGGCATGCAATTAAAAATGTATTGTTTCTTTCTGGAATTTTTCATATAAAATTTTTGCACCACAGTTAATCAAAGTTAACAGAACGTAAAGTGAATATGTGGATAAGGGAGGACTTTAAGAGACTCACTTCAGATGTAAAGACACACACAAACTAAAAGAGATGATAAAAGAAGGACATTATATAATGATAAAAAGGTCAATCAAACAAGAGGATATAATGTATAAATATTTATGTACCCATAAATATATGAAGCAATTATTAACAGACATAAAGGGGGAAATAGCAATGTAATAATAGATGTTAATACCCACTTATATCAGAAAATCAGTAAGAAAATATTGACCATACATGAAATGTTAGACCAGATGTAATTCACAGATATATACAAAACAGCCTAACCAAAAGCAACAGAATGCACATTTTTCTTGAGTGCACACAGAATATTATCCAGGATAGATCATGCGTAAGAACACAAAACAGGTCAATAAATTTTTGAAGACTGAAATAATACCAAACACTGTTTTCCAACCACAATAGTATGAAACTAAAAATGAATTAGAAGGAAACTGAAAAATCACAAACGTGGATATTAAACAACATGCCACTCAATAACCAATGGGTCAAAGAGGAAATCAAAAAAATTTCAAAAAATACCCTAAGACAAAATGGAAATACAACAACCGAAAGTTATGAGATGTAGTAACAGCAATTCCAACAATAAATGCCTACATCAAGAAACAAGAAAAATCTCAATCTATACCTTAAGGAACTAGAAAAAGAAAAATGACAAGTTAGTAGACGTAGCATGAGTGGGGGGGGGGGGGGAGATGGAGGTTTAATGGGGGATTAGGACACATTTGTAATACCTTAACTAATAAAGAATTTTTAAAAAAAGTTAGTAGACGTTAGGAAATAACACAGCAGAAATAAAATAGACTAAAAAGACAATACAAAAGATAAATGAAACTAAGAGCTGGTTCTTTGAAAAGATAAAATTGACAAATCTTCAGCTAGATTCACCAAGAAAAAAGATCTCAAAGCAAAAATGAAAGCTATGTTATAGCTGATACCACAGAAATGTGAAGAATCATGAGAAGACTATGAAAAATTATATACCAAGAGATTTTGGAATCTATAATGGATAAATTCCTAGCAACATAAATCTAACAAGACTAAATTATGAATAGAATAAACAGACTAGTAAGGAGAATGAGTAATCAAAAACCTCCCAATAAGTCCACAACCAGATGGCTTCACTAGTAAGTTATACCAAACATTCAAAGAAGAATTATTACCAATACCTTACAAGAAAATTGAATAAGGGAATGCTTCAAAGCTAATTTTATGAAATGAATATTACCCTGATACTGAAACCAGAAAAGTATGCCACAAGAAAGTATAATCACAACCCAATACCCCTCATGAACACACATGCAAAAATCACCAGCAAATATTAACAAAGTGAATTCAACAATACATTAAAATAATTATACACCATGAGGAAGTTTGATTTATTTCAGGGATACAAGGATGATTCAATACACGCAAATCAATGAGATATACCACTTTAATAAATAAAGAATACAGATTATATGATCATCTCAACAGAGGCAGAAAAGCATTTGACAAAATTCAACTTACATCCTATATAATAAAAGGCTAATATGCAAATAGACCGAACAACGGGACAACCGGTCAATATGATGTGCACTGACCCCCAGGGGACAGCAACACAGGAACTGCCCCCTGGTGGTCAGTGTGCTCCCATAGGCAGAGTGCCACTCAGCCAGAAGCCCTGGGCGGGGCTCATGGCTGGCAAGCGCAGCAGCGATGGCAGGAGCCTGTCCCGCCTCCGTGGCAACGCAAAGGATGTCCAACTGACAACTTAGGCCCACAGAGAGGGGGCCTAAGCCATCAGTCGGAAATCCCCCGAGGGCTCCCAGACTGCGAGATGGTGCAGTCCGGTCTGAAGGACACCCCCCCAGTGCACGAATTTCATGACCTGGCCTCTAGTTTATAATAAAAACTCTCCAAGTGAGTAGAGAGGAAATGTACCTCAACATAACAGAGGTTTACATATGCAATGATGAAAAGTTGAAAGCTTATTTTAAGACAGGAACAAGACAAAGTTTGCTCACTCTCGCCACTTTGATTCAAGACTAGAGGCCCGGTGCACAGATTCGTGCAATGGTGGGGTCTCTCAGCCTGGCCTGCACCCTCTTAGAATCCGGGACCCCTTAAGGCAGCGGTTCTCAATCTGTGGGTCGCGACCCCTTTGGCAGTCAAATGACCCTTTCACAGGGGTCGCCTAAGACCATCCTGCATATCAGATATTTACATTACGATTCATAACAGTAGCAACATTACAGTTATGAAGTAGCAACGAAAATAATTTTATGGTTGAGAACCACTGCCTTAGGGGATGTTGGACTACCGGTTTCCGTCCAATCTCCAGGGCCTGCGGAGATCGGGCTAAAACCAGCAGTCTACCATCCCCCAACAACGCAGTAGGCAGCCAGGGAGGAACCCAAGGCTGGGCAGGGCGCCATAACGCTCCACTCATCCCGGCCCTGCTGCGCCTGCTGCCACTCAGTAGGACAATGCCACAGAGGCAGGAGAGGCTCACACCGTCGCGCTGTGCTCGCCAGCTATGAGCCCAGCGTCTGCCACTCGTCAGTCAGCTGAGTGGCTCTCGCACTGTGGGAGCGCACTGACTGCCAGCGGGCAGCTCCTGTGTTGAGCATCTGCCCCTGGTGGTCAGTGTGTGTCATAGTGACCAAATGGTCGCATAGGCTTTTATTTACTAGGTGTAGTAACACATATGTTGATATATATGCGGTTTGATATGTATGCTATTTTGTTGTATTGACAAGCTTCAAAACTTATGTCAAATTTGCTGAAGGTATTAACATCATAGATATCTTTACACTTAAAAATGTCAAATTTCATGCCAAAAATAGAGCATTTGCGGGACTTTTTAATTCATTATTTTGAAGAGAAGTGCTGCTGAATATTTCGGGAAGCTTATGGTGAACATGCTCCATCTCAAGATACTGTAAACACTGGTTTAAACGCTTTAAAAGTGATGATTTCGGTATGAAAGACAAAGAACGTCCAGGTCAACCAAAGAATTTTGAAGACTAACAATGACAAGCATTATTGGATGAAGATTTGTGTCAAACTCAAAAACAACTTGCAGAAAGATTAAATGTTGCTCAGCAAACAATTTCCAACCGTGTACAAACAATGGGAAAGATTTTAAAGGAAAGAAAATGGGTGCCACATCAACTGAATGAAAGACAAATGGAAAACTGAGAAGTCATCAATAAAATGTTGCTTCAATGGCACAAAAGAAATCGAATTGTGACTGGCGATGAAAAGGGGACTTGAGAATCCCAAATGCACAAAAATCATGGGTTGATACAGGTCAACCATCAACATCAACTGCAAGGCCAAATCGCTTCCGAGAGAAGACAATGCTCTGTGTTTGGTGGGATCAGGAAGGGGAGGTGTATTATGAGCTTCTAAAATAAGGTGAAACTGTTGATACTGATTGCTACCGACAACAAATAATCAATTTGAACCACGCTTTGATGATGAAACGATCTGAATGTTCCAGAAGACACGGCAAAGTAATTTTGCTTCATGATGACGCACCATCACACACTTCAAAACCAGTTAAAGATACGTTAAAAGATCTTGCCTAGGAAGTGTTAACCCACCTACAGTATATACCAGACCTTGCTCCTTCAGATTACCACTTGTTCTGATTGATGGCACATGCACTTTCTGAGCAGCACTTTAAAACATTTGAAGAAGTGGAAAATTGGGTCTCTGAATGGTTTGCCTCAAAACAAGAAAAGTTCTATTGGGACGGTATCTACAAATTACCTGAAAGATGAGGAAATGTGTAGCTAGCGATAGACATTACTTTGAATAAAGCACTTTTGATGTTTCCCTTGAAATTATCATGTTTTCTTTAGTTACAAAATCCTCATTATTAACCTGTACACTGTACACCTAGTATATACTAGAGGCCCAGCACACGGAATTTGTGTGCAGGTATGATCCCTAGGCCTGGCCTATCAGGGCCATCTTCCCGAGCTGCTTGTAGCCGGCTCCGCCCCCCACCGCCACCAATCCCCGGTTCCGCTTTTGCTATTGGGTGATCTGTGCCTGACGGCTGGGAGAAGGAACCAAGAGGTCGGCTGTTCCCGCCTGCTTGCTGGCCCCGCCCCTGCTGTGGGTGGCCATCAGGCAATTGGAGACTGCCGGCCAGGAAAACAACCAAGAGATGGTCAGGGCGCCGCACAGTGACTGGTCTAGCAGTCATTCTGCCGTTAGGATCACTTTGCATATATAGGACTAGTGGCCCAGTGCATGAAATTCGTGCACACGGGGGGGGGGGGGGTGTCCCTCAGCCCGGCCTGCACCCTCTCCAATCTGGGACACCCCTGAGGGATAGGGCCTAAACTGGCAGTTGGACATCCCTCTCGCAAACCGGGACCACTGGCTCCTAACCACTTACCTTCCTGCCTGCCTGCTTGCCCCTAACCACTCTGCCTGCCGGCCTGCTTGCCCTCAACTGCACGCCCCCCCCCCCCCCCCCCCGCCAGCCTGCTTGCCCCCAACCGCCTCTGCCTTGACCCTGCCACCATGGCTTTGTCTGGAAGGATGTCCAGAAGGTGTCCCCGTCTAATTCGCATATTAACCTTTTATTAGTATAGAGGCCTGGTGCATGGGTGGGGATCAGCTGGCCTCCCCTAAAGGGGGCTCTGGATCGGGGTGGGGGTCCCTGCTGGGGGCGGGGGCTGGCCTGGGCGAGAAGCCACAGGCAGTTTTCAGGCTGGCCATGCCAATTGGGGTGGGGGTCCCCACTGGGGGGCGGGGCCAGCCTGAGCGACGACGGGCCTGGGGTGGCTTGCAGGTCGGCCACTCCTCCAATCAGGGTGGGGGTCCCCACTGGGGGGCGTGGCCCTGGGCAGTTTGCAGGCCAGCCACACCCCTGGCTTTGTCAGGGAGGACGTCCAAAAGACATTTGGTCTAATTAGCATATTACCATTTTATTAGTATAGAGGCCCTGTGCACAAATTCATGCACAGGTGGGGTCCTTCAGCATGGCCTGCAGGGATCAGGATGAAACCGACAATCCAATGCCACCTGCCGCTCCTGCTCAACCTGTCCCCAGTGTGCCTGCTGCAGCTCACGCCCAGTCAGTCCTGATCTGGGGAAGCTCTGTGGGACACCCTTGCCAGCCTGGGATCTGGATCCATCCTGCTGGCCTTAGCACTGGTTGTTGGGAGCCACCTGGCAGCCGCTTTTATTTCATCCTTATGGAGCGTCTAAGGAGGGGAAGCGGCTGCAGTCAACCGGTTGTTCAGTTGCTTAGGCTGATATATATGTAGATAGCTAAGATAGGGAAGCAACTTAAGTGTCTATGAATGAATGAATGAAGAAATTTAGTATGAATACATACAATATTCATACACACAATGGAATATTATTCTGCCATAAAAAAATGAAATCTTAGTATTTGAGTCAACATGGATGGACCCTGAGGACATTATGCTACGTGAAATAAGTCAGAGAAAGACAAACACCATATACTAATAATCTCACTTATATGTGGAAACAAAAAAACAAACGCATAGATATAGAGAACAGTTGGTGTGGTAGAGGAAGTGGGTGAAAGAAGGGTCAAAACAAACAAGCTACCAGCTATACAATAAGACATGGAGACATAACTTACATCATGGTAACTACAGCTGACCATTCAACAGTGTGAAGGTTAGAGGCATCAACTTCCAGCAAAATTGAAAATCCACATATAACTTCAGTTGGCCCTGCATATTCAGATTTCTGGCAGCAGAGTAACCCTTGAACAACACAGGTTTGAAACTGTGTGGATCAATGGAGCTACACAAGTCAATTAGAAAAAACCCACATATAACTGGACCAGTGCAATTCAAACCCATGTTGTTCAATGGTCAATTGTATTAAAAATACCATATTGAATATTTGCAAGTTGCTAAAAGCATAAATCTTAAAAGATCTCATGAAAAGAAAAAGTTTTAACTATGGTGCTAAATGTTCTTGTGATCATTTCAAAAATATAAAATTTTTAAATCATGATGTTGTACACCTGAAACTAATATACATGTCAGTTATACATCAATTGAAAAAAAAGGTAAAGAGAGCAGAAAGTTATTTTAAAAACAGAAAAAACGATTTTTGAGATAGATAGGTAGAGGCCTGAAAGAATTCATGTAAGCATGAAGACCTATGATAATGGTACCCACCTAACATGGATATTACCTTATTACTATGTAAAACTTTTAAATGAGCATGTAAAAACATGCTCAACATAATTAGTTACTCAATATCATTAGTTCACAATTATAATTGTGAACAAAGATATAGAGTAATTGGAACCCTCATACACTGCAGATGTGGAAATATAAAATGGTACAAGTATTCTGGAAAACAGTTTGATAGTTCCTCAAAATGCTAAACATACAGTTACTATATGGCTTAGCAATGCTATTCATCTCTCCCAAGACACCTGCAAGTATATCTCTACATAATAACTTGCACATGAATGTTCATAGCAGTATACTCATAATAGCCAAAAAGTAGAAGTAACCCAAATGCCCATCAACTAATGAAGGAATAAACAAATTATAGGAAATTCATAAAATGAGTATTTTTCAGTAATAAAAGAAAATGAAGTATTAACCCATAACACAACATGGATGAACTTTAAAACATTATGATAAAGTGAAAAAAAAAACCCAGACACAAAAAGACCACACATTAGGTATGATTCCAATTATATGAAATGTCTGGAATAGGCAAATCTAGAGCTAGAAAGTAGATTAGTGGTTGCCTAGACATGGAGAGGAGGGAGGAAATGGAATGACTGCTGATGGGTACTGGGTTTCTTTTTAGAGCGATAAAAATGTTCTAAAATTCATTGTGATGATGGTTATACAACTCAATACAAAAACTGAACTGTACTCTTTAAAAAACACTAGTTTATAAAAAGGTTTCATTTTATACTATGGGATTATATCTCAATAAAATTGTTATAAAGAAGTGAAAAACCAAGAGATCCTTTTACTTTTTAACTTACCAAAAACTTTGACTTCCTTAAATTATTAAACTTTAAATTACTTGAACTTAATTACAATTATGACTTTAATCTTAAGTAAAATTTAAACCAAATAACAATTTCTAAACAAATACCTGTTTGCACACCAGTATCCTTCTTAGGAGAGTTCGTAGAATTGATACAGGTGTTCATTTTACCACTGACTTCATCCAAGCCATGTCTTGAATTTGAAATGTTCTTAGTAGATTCATTAAATTCCACTTGAACTGTATCAAATGGAAGAGAAATAAATTTTGTGATAACATAATAGTTCAGGAATATTAATAGAAATTATGAGTAGCAGTAACTATGCGCAAGTCTTTAATTAATCAATATGAACAATGCAAAATAATTTAGAAGGGCTAGCCTAATGTTTCTTATAAAAAGTTACCTTCATTCTAATCCCTTCTTGAATATAGGGAGACTACTCAATAGATGTCTCGATAAAAATAGGTACAAAATATTCACTTTACATACTCTGAGCAAAATAAAAAAACATATATGAAAAGTATATTATTATTTAGTTGTACTCTTAAGACAATTTCCCAAATAAAATGCGTATTATAAAGATACATTAGTTCAAGGTCTAAAATTCTTTTAAAAATATTTAATTAATAGTTGTGTTAAAAGTATTAAAAATAGTCAATTATTTAAAATCAACTTCAAAAAATATTACAAATAGAATTCTAGTTAAGTATTTACCGCCAAGATTTTTAATCAGCCTAGAAGGGTCATGTCCCTTTTGAGCCAATTCTCGGATCCTCTGTTCTTGCTTTAGTCTCTGTGCCAGCTCCTGTGCTCTCTGCACTGTCTGGAAGAGTTCATTTGTCTTGACAGTTATAATTTCCTATCAATATTAAAGTAAAGAAATGTATTAAGTAAATTACCAAACACATACAAACTTAAATATTCTCTCTCAGTAGATATTTTCTAAGCTCCTTCTATGTACCCAGTTGTATTCAAGATACTAGAAGAGTCAACAGAGAAAATTCCTTCCCTTTGGTAGCTTACATTTTAATATCTGTTTTTTTAAAGCAGTCAGTCTTTAATTTCAGTCACTCTGGTAGATATAAAATGGCATTTCATTGTGGTTTTAATTTACATTTCACTGATAACAAATGGGACTGAGCTATTTTTAAATATTCACTGGCTGTTTTTCTTCTGTAAAGTGGTAAAGTACCTGTTCCAGACTTTTGCTCATTCTTCCATTGGGTTTTTGTCTTTTTTGTTGTTGGTTTATACAATTTTAATTTTTTAAGATTATTATTATTGATTTCAGAAAGGAAGGGAGAAAGAGAGCTAGAAACATCAGTGAGAGAGAATCACTGATTGGCTGCCTCCCGCATGACCCCCATGGGGAATAGAGCCCACAACTCAGGCATATGCCCTGACTAGGAATCGAACCGTGACCTCCTGGTTCATAGGTCAACGCTCAACCATTTAAGGCACACTGGCCAGGCTATTTTTCAATTAGAGTTGACATACAATATTATATTACTTTCAGGAGTACAACATAGTGACTAGACATTTATATACTTACAACATACCAACAAGTCTAGTAGTACCTACCCATCTGACACCACATAGACATTACAATATTATTGACCATATTCCCACTGCTGTACTTTACATCCCCATGACTGTTTTTATGACTGGCAATTTGCACATCTTAAACCATTCCCCTTTTTCACCTAACCCTCCTCTCCATCTGCCAAACCATCAAAATTATCTCTTTATCTATGAGTCTCTCTATGTGCTGTTTATTTTGGTTTTTAGATTCCACATGCAAGTGAAATCATGGTATTGACTTTTCTCTTACTCACTCACTTCATTTAGCATAATTCCCTCTACATCAATTCCATGTTGTTGGAGATGGCAAGATTCCATTCTTTATTTGTGACTTAGTAATATTCCATTGTACATATGTACCACCTGTTTTACACATTTGTCTATTAATGGACACTTAGTTTAATTCCATATCTTGGCTGCTGTAAATAATGTTGCAATGAGCATAGGGATATATATGTCTTCATGAATCAGTGTTTGGGGTTTCTTCAGATAAATACCCAGAAGTGGAATTGCTGGGTCCTTCTTTGTCTCTTGCTATAGCCTTTGTTTTATAGTCTATTTTGTCTGATATAAATATTGCTACCCCAGTTTTTTTGCTGTTTCCAGTGCATGAAATATCTTTTTTCATTGCTTTATTTTCAGTCTGTGTCTTCCTAGCTGAAGCGGGTCTCCTGTATGTAGTATATGTATGGATCTTGTTTTCTTATCCATTCAGCCACCCTATTTCTTTCATTTGGAGCATTTAATTGATTTTCATTTAAAGTAACTATTGGTAGGTATGTAGTTACTCATGTTTTATATTTTTATTTTTTGTCTTTTGAATTACAAATGTTCGATGTCCCTTGAACATTTCTTGTAATACTGGTTTGATGATGAATGCCTTTAGCCTTTTCTTATCTGGCAAGCTCTTTAATTGTCCTTTGATTCTAAATGACAGCTTTGCTAGATAAAGTAATCTTGGTTGTAGGTCCTTGCTTTTCATCACTTTAAATATTTCATACCAATCCCTTCTGGCCTACCAGTTTCCTTGAGAAATCGGCTGACGGTTTGTGGTAGCTCCTTTGTACGTAATTAACTGATTTTGTCTTGCTGATTTAAAGATTCTTTGTCTTTAACCTTTGACATTTTAATTATGATGTGTCTTGGTGTGGTCCTCTTTGGGTTCATCTTGTTTAGGACTCTCAGTGCTTCCTGGGCTTGTATGTCTATATTCTTCACCAGTTTAGGAAAATTTCCCATCATTATTTCTTTAAATAGATTTCCAGTTCCTTGCTCTCTCTTCCCCTTCTAGTACTCCTGTGTTAAGAATGTTAGTATGATTGAAGTAGTCCCAGAGACCCCTTAATGTAGCCTCATTTTTGGGGATTTTTTTTCTTGTTGCTGTTCTGATTTTCTGCTACTTTATCTTCCAAATCTCTGCTTCATTTAAACTATTATTGATTCCCTTGAATATATTCTTCATTTCAGTCATTGTATTCTGCACATCTGATTGGCTCTTTTTTTATATTTTCTATCTCCATTTTTATGTTTCCTGTCTCTTTGTTGAAGTTCTCACTGAGATAATCTAACTATTCATTCTTCCCTGAATTTCACTGATCATCCTTATAACGAGTGTTTTGAACTCTACATCTCGTAGACTGCATGTCTCCATTTTATTTAATTAGTTTTCTGGTATTTTGTTCTGTTCTTTCATTTGGGACATGGTTCTTAGTCTCCTCATTTGCCTGCCTTCCTGCATTTATTTATATGTATTATGTAGAACTGCTATGTCTCCCAGTCTTAGTACAGTGGCCTTATGTAATAGGTGTCCTATGGTACTGACTGGCTCAATCTACCTGGTCCTATGTGTGGGTTGTGTGTTCTGTGGAATTGACCCTCAGGCTGACTGGTTGTGAAGGCTGGCCTTGTTTACAGCACAGGAACTCTTGTGCAGGGATTTTCCCTAATTTTATCAAGGCTCTGGTGCCTGCAGAGTCTACCGTTTCGGTGTATCCTTTGTGGAGGTGATTGCGTGGTACTCTGGTGTGGTCTGAAGCTGGCACTGGGTGTATTTGTTCTGGAGCATCTTAGGAGAGGCTCTGGTGCAGCCAAGGTAGGCTACTGCCTATGCCCTGCCCGGGGCCACTTGGTATAAGACAAAGTGACCTGAGGATGGTTGCCATTGATGCTGGGCTTGGTGGTATGTGGGAGAGGCTAAGCTATGAGCTGAGGCAAGCTGCCACTAGTGCCAGAGTTGGGGCTGCCTAGCAAGAGATACAGAACACATTGAGGCCCGATGTTACTTATCTGGAGTTTGTGAACCCTTGAGATTTCAGGACTGTCTGAGGCATGAGCTAAGACAGGCTGTTTGTATGGAAAAGCCACTGGAAGCAACTTGGGTGGGCCCAAAAGTTGGGTGGGGCAGGGTATCAGGGAATCAATAGATGGGATGACTGCTATTAGCCAGAATGATGAATAGTCAGATCTGGCATCGCTTAAGCCTGCAGGCTGGGTGTGGGTTGGGCACAACAAAGAAACAATGGCTTCTGCCAGCACTTAAGTCTAGGAGAAAGCTGACCATACAACCCTTGGCCTGAAGCCAGACAATTCAGTTCTACTCCATATGTCCACTGAGCTTTTCAAGTTGCTGCCCCAGAGCTGAAGATCAGAGTGAGTGACTGTCAGCAAGTAAGTCTGTGCACTCTAGGACACCTCCATCTTACTCCACAATCTCTGCTGGTTTTGAAGTCAAAGTTAGGGGGGACTTCTCTTCCTGGCAATGGAACCCTGGGCTGGGGAGCCTGCTATGGAGCTGGGACTCCTCGCTCCTCAGGGGGACCTCTGCAGCTGAGACATCCCTCTCAATTTTTAACCACTACATGCAGGTGTGGAAACAGCCAGATCCACATCTCTGTGCTTCCTACCAGTCTCCACGTGGCTTCTTCTGTATATCCTTAGTTATAAGACTTCTGTTCAGCTAGACTTCAGGTGATAATCAATGATAGCTGTTCTGCAGTTTAGCTGTAATTTGGATGTAATCGTGGGAGGAGATGAGCACATTTACCTACTCCAACATCTTGACCAGAAGTTTAAACTTTTTCTACAGCTTCGTTAGACCACAAATATAAGAACTAGTTTACATTCAATTTATACTAATAAAGCTTTCAAAGTTTCTAAACCAATGGTCAATTCCATCAGAATTCTATTAAGATTAAAAATAGATTACTAAGAGGTAAAACACAAATCTTATGGGCATTTATTGCAATTCAAGCAAAAGATACTTTGATTTTTTTCATGTATATAGCTATACATGAAAAAACACCACATAGTTAACTATTTCATAGTAGTTGACTCAGCCTATTCAACATAATGAAATCAGAACCCAGACCATGTGTCCCTTCACTAATTTTGAAGGCTGCAAGTGCAAAAGGCAAGAAATGTTGGCTTTCAGCCCCACCTCCCTACTCCAAAGGAAGTGCTCTATGTTCTACTTTGTAAACCTCAAGAATCTTTGGTAATTGATGTCAATGTATGAGTTGCTCTTTGTCAACTCAGCTTGACACCACCATACCTATACTGTCTGTACCATTTAATATAGCAATTCTCCAAGCCAACCAGATATCTACTCTTTTTATTTTCACGTATTTATTTTTTGGATATCTAGTCTTTTTAAAAGACCCTTAATTAGCACAGAGGAAACCTCTAACATAGCAACAAACTGTATTATCAATCCCTGTCAATCACTCTACATATAAATGCTCCTATTCACCAGAGAATACAGACAAAAAGGCCAATCATTTTCTTAACATTTCTAGAACATTAATATATTAAAAATCACTTAGAAACATTTCAAGACCAAGCACGTGGATAATTTTTGTTTTGTGCTATAACAACTCATCTTGACTTCCTTCTTAGTGGAGAAAAAAACCCAAGCAATATAACATTTGTGAACTAATCACTAATCATTTGAAATAAAACCTTCTCCAGAATGCTCCTTAACTTTCATAACTTTCTTTATGCAAATCTTTAATGTTTCCCCATAAAGCTTTACAATTTCAAAATACATGAAAATGTTTAACTTTCGGTTATTTTTACTTTAAGAACACATCCACTTTTACTCTAAAATATTACAGTTAGAATATAAATACCTACTTCCTTTTGTTTTTGCTTAAGTATGTCTTCTTCATACTGTTTCTGCATCTCTTCTCGTTCCCGTGCTAGGCGAAGCTCCTCTTCTTGTTCTTCCTTCTTTCTTTGCTCTTCTTGCAACTGCTTCTTCCTACGCTTTTCTTCTACCTGAGCAGAGATGGCTTTCTAGACATAAATAATCATATAAATCACTGCCACAAACTTAAAAAAACCCAGGATGCATTTGCTTTGGTGTTTCTAAACCAAACACCAAAACAAATAAGTTTATCAGTATACAGAAAGTAATTCTCATTCTGACGGAATTCAGGAGAACGAAAAATATCCAATATTAACTTAAGATTTAGTACCATTTCATATATGCAATCTATATATTAAAAATCTTCTCAAAATATTAAGCCAATCTGAGAAAGGCAAATATCACATGATCTCACTTATTTGTGGAATCTAATGAACAAAATGAATTGATTAACAAAATAAGACCCAAAGAGAAGAGATAAACCAAAGAACTTATATACTTACTAGTGGCCCAGTGCACGAATTTGTGCACATCGAAAGGAAATTAATTACAATATTTTGATATCGCTATTTGCCCTTTCTCTACAACATAAGTGTTAACCAAATTCACGATCAACAAATGACAGATTGAAACACATGTGTGATTGGTGCCACCGAGAGCTTTGTCTGTATCATGCATGCGGGAGTCAACTAAGCCTCTTATATATATAAATTAAACTTGCTTAATTAGACCTGCTTTCTGATTTAGTTAAACTTTTTCCAGCCCAGTGAAGCACCCCAACTTCTCTTTCAGGTAATTTTCAGCAACACAGCAGTAAATATCAACACAAAGATTATTATTGTAGATCACGCAGGGAGAACAAAGAGTAAAATACTTAACTGCAGCAGTGTTTGACTATATTCTGCGCAGTCAGAAAACCTGAAGTCATTTTCAAGGTCCACCATTTCTTACTTCTTTTCAGTTGGGTCAAGTTTCTAAATCTCCGTTTTCTGGCTAATGAAAATAGGATTCCACCGAGTCTCCTATCTACCTACTCCAGGCCTTCTGTGAGGATCAAATGAGATGAGACATGTGAAAACGCTTCACAGATATTTGATTAAAGTGTAAAATGTTTCCACCTGGCTATTATACAAGTCATGTTCCTGGGCTGAAGAAACTGCAAGGAGGCTAGTCACTAGGGATAAGAAGCCAGGCATTGCTACATGAGGTGCCCACAGCGACTATTTCCAGGCTGGGCTGGGGGTCATATTTTGCACCATCGGGTCTCGGCAGCGTCAGCTGCGATTTGTTGGGGTGTCGCTCCAGGTGGTGGCGGGGCTGTGTCCCACTTGGGGGAAGCCAAGTGTTGCTCTGTGGGTGCCAGGTCCATGGTGCCGATTATTGTTAAACTAGAGACCCGTTGCACAAAGAGATTCATGCAATAGGCCTTCCATCCCCTGGCTGCTGACACCGGTTTTCCTCTGGCACCCGGGACCCAGGCCTTCGCTCCGGCTGCAGCCGAGAAGCGAAGCCTCTTCAGCCTTCAGTCTTCGCTGCTCCGGCCGGAGCCTGCAGTCTTCGCTCCACACCTGCGTATGCAAATTAACCACCATCTTTGTTGGGTTAATTTGCATATTCTCCTGATTCGCTGGTGAGCGTAGTGGAGGGACGGTCAATTTACATGTTTGTCTATTAGGTAAGATGGCCTGTCACTAGGGAGAGGAAGACGGGCGTTGCTACATTATGTCACTACCCAGTGCCCACAGCCACTGTTTCCAGGCTGGGCTGGGCTGTGGGCCGCATTTTGTGCCATGGAGTCTTGGCAGCATTGGCTGCGATTTGGTGGGCTGTCACTCCAGGGTGGTGGCAGGGCCTGTGTCCTACTTGGGGGAAGCCGAGTATTGCTTTGTCGGCACCAGGTCTGTGGTGCCGTCTCTTTGTAAATGACCAGTGCACGTCACAGCAGCTCCTGCATTGAGTGTCTACCCCTGGTGGTCAGTACACTTCATAGCCAGAGGGACACTTAACATATTAACCTTTTATAGATATCGATATGCATGGACACAGGCAACAGAGTAGTGAAGGCCTGGGGGTGTGGGGAGGGGCTGGGAGGAGGAAAATGGTAGATATCTGTAATAGTATCATCAATAAAAGATATATTATAAATAAATAAATAAATCTATCTATATGCTTTTCTCCTGCTTAAAAAAAAATTCTTCCCTTCTGCCAGCCGGTATGGTTCAGTTGGTTGAGCATCATCCCATATACCAAGATGTTACTGGTTTGATTCCCAGGAAAGGCAGATGCCCGGGTTGTGGGCTCGATCCCCAGTAGAAGACATATAGGAGGCAGCCTATCAGTGTTTCTCTCTCCCTCCCCCTCTGTCTTCCTCTGTGTCTAACATCAATAAAAACATATTTTTAAAAATCTTCCCTTCTGGAAAGCAGGTAGCTGTACTATGAGTATTAACCTAATATAATACCAGTTGGAGTAGGGATTAGATTGATCAAGGGATTGGACAGGGCCAATGCTGTAAGTTTATAATGAATTTTTAATTTCCATTTACTTAGGTATCTATTGGCCATAAATAAGGCAAAGAACAATACTTTACAATGCAATACCTGATGTTCTAACTGTTTTTGTCGCCGCTTGTCTCGTTCTTCAATTTGAGCTGGGTCCAAGAGAGCAGTCATAGAACGGAGAAAGCTGGCAAGATAGATACATTAGCTATTTAAAACCACCAAAATATGAATTTAACAAGATACTAAATCATTTTTGTTTGGAATATATCTATAATCATTTCTACTTTACAGAAAAATACCAAACCTGAAATAGAATATCAACTGAAATACTATAAATATAATAAGTCCTAAAAAAGCATACTTTTTAAAACATCAATAAATACTGAAGTATAAACTTACTTTGTTTTTTGACTGTTTGGGATTGCTACACCTCTAACAGGTTTTGCTATATACTCCTCTTCTAAAGGTTCAATCTGGCTTCCAGTTGTAGGTGTATAAACACTGCTGACATCAGCCAGCTCCTGAGGGTCCGGAGAGATACAGAAGTACTCTGGTTGTTTGTATGTTGACCGAGAGGACAGCTGAGACTGAGAATCAAAATGCACTGCCCATCTGTCATGTTCCTCACCCTAATTATGACAAATAAGAATTGCTAAGAATGTTTCCAATTGTTCTCACATATAAAATCTTAAATGACAATCAAACATGATTTCTAAGTCACCATGCAGAATAAGCATCATAAAAATTAACAAAACTGCTTTTTGTATTGATTCCATATACATTTAGATAAATAGCTTGGAGAATAAGAGAAATTCAAAGAATTAGGAAATTTCTAAAAAGTTACAAGAAACTATGCAAAATGCAGTATTAAATGCATCAATGAAAGGGTCACAAGAATAAATGTAGAATAACTCATATAATCTAGTCTTGTCAAATAGTTTCAGAATATCTTTAAGATTAAAAACTTTGAAATTCACACCTGTCAAAATGGCTAGCATCAATAAATCAACAAACAACAAATGTTGGTGAGGATATGGGGGAAAGGGAACTGTTGGTGGGAATGTAAATTGGTGCATCCACTATGGAAAAGTATGGCGGTTCCTCAAAAAATTAAAAACAGAACTATCTTATGACCCATCAGTTCCACTTCTGGGTATTTATCTGAATAAATAAAAAAATACTAATTCAGAAAGATACATGCATCCCTCTGTTCATTGTTGCATTATTTACAATAGACCAGATATGGAAGCAACCTAAATGTCCATCAACAGACAACTGGATAAAGATGATGTGGTATATAAATATATATATATATATATATATATATATATATATATATATATAGTATATAAATATATATATTATATATATATGAAGAGATGCATATATATATGCATACACGCATACACACACACACAATAGGACAATACTCAGCCATAAAAAAAATGAAATTTTACCATTTGCAACAACATGGATGAACCTAGAGGGTATTATGCTAAGTAAATAAAGTCAGACAGAGAAAGAAAAATACCACATGATTTCTTATACGTGAAATATTTTTTAAAAAAATATATTTTTATTGATTTCAGAGAGGAAGGGAGAAGGAGAGAGAGAGAGAAACATCAATGATGAGAGAGAATCATTGTTTGGCTGCCTCCTGCATGCCCCACACTGAGTATAGAGCACACAACCCAGGCATGTGCCCAGACCTGGAATCGAACCCTGAACTCCTGGTTCATAGGTCAATGCTCAACCACTGAGCCACACCAGTCGGGCTGTCAAATATTAAAAAAAAAAAAAAAAAAAAAAAAAAAAAGCCCAGATTAGCTCAGTGGGTAGAGCATCAGTCTGCAAACAGAAGGGTCCAGAGTTCAATTCCAGTCAAGGACACGTACCTCGGTTGCAGGCTCCTCCCCGGCCCTGGTGGGGTGTGTGTGGGAGGCAACCAATCAATGTGTCTCTCTCACAATAATGTTTCTCTCTCTGTCTTTCCCTCTCCCTTCCACTCTCTCAAAAAATAAAAAATAAAAAAAATCAATGGAAAAAATATCCTTGGGTGAGGATTAACAAAAATAAAAAACAAAACAGAAATGGACTCACAGATACAGAGAACAAGCTGACTGACAGTTGCCGGATGAGAGGGGATTTGGGAGCTAAGTGAAAAAGATAAAGGGATTAATAAGTACAAATCGGCAGTTACAGAATAGTTACAGGGTGTAAAAGACAGCACAGGGAATATACTAGTATTCAATCTATAATAATAAAAGCATAATATGCTAATTAGACCGGACGTCCTTTTGGACGAAGCCCGGGTGGCCTGCTGGCGGCTGGAGGGAAGCCTGGGTTCTGGGTGCCAAAGGGAAGCCGGTGCCATCAGCCGGGGGAAGGAAGGCCCACTCTTGCAGAATTTCGTACATCAGGCCTCTAATAATATAATAACTATGTATGGTGCCAGGTGGGTACTGCACTTATGGCAAGGGAGAATCACTTCATGAATTATATAAATGTCTAACCACTATGCTGTATACCTGAAACTAATGTAATATTGAATGTCAACTGTAATTGAAAAAAATTTTTTCACTTTGAAATTATTTTTTCCATTTATATCCATAAAACTTTGTAAGCTACCTTTGAAGATACAATTTTTTCTTCTATTTTTCTTTGCCCGTTATCTTCTATTTGTTTGTTCAACTCTTCAATCCATTTGCTCTGTTCTTGTTTCACACCACTGAAAGGGTGTTCTGGCAGGACTGCTTCCTAAATAATAGTCATCAATACCATTTAAAGTACAGATTTTTTTTTCTAACGACTTTATATTTACAAATCTTAACCATAGTTTACACAAATTTAATATAATAAATTTATTTCTAAGAACAGAAATAATTTTAAACAAAAAATTCTAGTATACAAGAATTAAGCAGATATGTTTTGATTTTCAGAATCATATTTGTAACATATACTAAAAGATACAAGATAAATACAGGGTGGGTGAAAGTAGGTTTACAGTTCTGAGTACAAAAAAACAGTTTATTCTTGTATTATTATTAATTATTGTATTATTTTCTATACGTACAACTGTAAACCTACTTGTACCCTACCCTGTATAAGGAAAGGAAATTTTCTAATGAAAAAATAGAAAATTATTTCTCCAAAGCAATGATAGTTTCCAAAATTCTAACCTAAAATAGTCTCACTTAGATTTGGAAAGGAGTTATATTGATAATTTAAAATAGATGAATACTGTTCTACATTTGGCTTCAAAATACAAAAAATATTGCCTTTGGATCCAGAGCCAGGAGGATAGGAGACCAACTTTCTCTATTGAATAGTAATGTCTTTTTCTAGGATGCCCTTCTTTTCCATTTCTGCTACTATAGCCCTATCACAATCTATGTCATTTCAATAAGAAAAACATATTGTGCCGTGACTGATGTGGCCCAGTTGGTTGAGTGTCATCCCGTGCACCAGAGGTTATTGGTTCAATTCCCAGTCAGGGCACATACCCAAATTGTGGGTTCGATGCCTGGTTGGGGTACATACAGGACACAACCAATCAATGTTTGTCTCTCACATTGATGTTTCTCTCTCTCTCCCTTCCTCCCTTTTTCCCTCCCACTCTCAAAAAAATCAATGATAATAAAAAAGTAGAATTATCAAAAAACTTATTATAGTGTCCAGATTAAATTTTGAATTCTAAGAAAGCAAAAAATAAAAAAGTACTATAAAAATTTGTTGTTGCTTTACCTTATGAGAGTTAGTATGCTCTAACAAAAAGAAAAGAATGTACTGTATTCTACTCAAATTGCCTTAAATGCAACAGCTAAGCAACAAGCATTTTGTTGTGAAATAACTGCAAGACGTAATTCCAAATAGTTTGACAGAATACAATGGCAATAAACCTCCAAATGTTACTATCTGCCCTTGTTTATACAAGAAATAAAGACAAAAGCTCATAGTTTACAATTACTTTCATAAAAGGATATATTTATACAAAAATAAAATCTTTTAATATCTCAGGTACGCCTACATATCTTTAACAGATTTAAAAAAAAAAAAAGCCATCATATTTATTTAAGCCTAAAAGAGAAACTTCAAAAGGAAGATTATCTTCAGGTAAGTGATTCAACAAGTCTTCTATCTCTAGAAATGTTATTTTAGAGGTCAAAATGGAAAAGAAAAACATGTGGGCCCTCTGAACTCCTTGTAAGAAATTCTCAGCATTGGCACTGTATCACCTTAGAATTCTGTAATCAGTTTCTGAAGTTTGATGTAACCAGATCTGGTTTCAAATTTCAGTGGAGCTGCAAATTATTTAGCACAAATCAAAAATACCTTGAAAATTCCTAAAATGGCTCAAAAAAATGTCTTATACACAAATATTTACACAACCGAGTGGGAAATTTAATAATCAGCTCTCTGGATTAAGTCTTAAATTTTTTTAATTGATTCTTTTTTTTTAAGAAAGAGAAAAACATGGATAGTTTTGTCTCGCACACACACCCCAACAGGGATCGAAGCCTTGCTACCTTTTGGTGTATGGGATGATGCTCCAACCAACTGAGTACACTGCTCAGGGCAGTCTTCAATTTCTTATTCATGGATGTTTACAAAGCCATTACCACCCACTTGCTTGCCACCTGAATAAATCATTTCAGTTGAATTCTTTTTTTCTTCTTTTATTTAAAAAGATTTGTCAAACTTTCCACATCCTGGTGATAGTTTACATGATTAATAAGCAGCTTTTTCATGAAATGCTTGGAGGGGAGTGAGTTCTCAACCTGTATGATCTGACCATCCCATTGACTGAAGATTCTCTTGAATAAAAAAAACAAGGGGGAGGGGAGGAGGAGGAGCATGCTAAAACCAAAGGAAACATTCCTCATGACAGCCATCCAGAACTGAAAAAACCCCCACAAAACACCTCAAAAACAAAACCAATTCACGAACTCCACTTTTTCTATTTTACAACTTTCTATACCTCAATCTTTTTAAAAAATATGTTTTTATTTCAGAGAGGAAGGGACAGGGAGATAGGAACATCAGTGAGAGAGAATCATTGATCGGCTGCCTCCTGCACACCCCATACTAGGGATCAAGCCACAGCCCTGGTATGTGCCCTGACAAGGAATGGAACCGTGACCTCCTGGTTCATAGGTCAATGCTCAACCACTGAGCAATGATGGCCGGGCCTACACCTCACTCTTGATTTTGGCCTTCCTGGCTGAAACAGCTTCCCAGTCCTGCCTCTCCCAACGACAGTAGGATGTGGTGATCCAACCCCCCCTCGCCCCTTAGGCTTGGTGGATTCCAGAGAACTGATGGTGTTGAAAAAGTGTGTTGGAAAACCAAAAAATGGCGAAAAAAAAATCCACTGGAAGATGAGAAAGAAAATGGTGAGGAACTGGGTTTAAGCGAGAGCATATATAATTTTGTTAACGTAGCCAGCCCAGGCAAGCAAGGGTACTTGTCTGCTATTCTGGTTGGTCGATTTTCCAGGGAATTCTTCCCCCACTGATCATCTAGGCCCAGAAACCTTCTTGCCACCCTCACAGGTCTCTTACTTCCCTTTGCCTATTTTCAGGCTATGTGGGGAAGACCTCTCTCCCCCCAGCCGCCACCCTGAAATAAAATTAACACCAAAGTCTCACTTGGTGAACATTAATTTGAAACAGAAAAATAGAGAGCAAATATTATTAGGTCTGATCAAATAATTGAATCGATAACCCTTCCCCCGGGAATTGACCTTTAGGCCACTTCACAATGGACATTCCACTTGCTTAGACCACATTCCACTTGCTAAGACCATTCTCTCTCCCCTATGGAGTTTCTCAGAATCCAGACCTGCACAGAGAATTCTTGCTCAGAAAAAGCCCACCTAGATTCCTTTAAAAACCTCTGACTCCCCGTCTTTGGGGGCTGATGCCATTTTAGGGCTCGGCTCATCTGGATTTCCAAATGACCTAATAAATTCATAATTCTTTACCCCTTTTGGCCTCATGCATTCCTCCTTCGGCAGTCCTAACATTTGGTGCCGAAACCTGGGAGGGTTCCACTGGGATAGGGAGCCATCCGGCTTTGATCATCCTGAGTTTGCTACTCGGAGAGCAGTAGGCAGCGGCAGCTGGACCTGGGCTTACCTCTGAATCCTACTCGGGTGACTCAGTTGCTGGCCTTGATTAGGCCTCCCTCCCTTAAGGACCCTCCCGAACCAGCCAAGGAGGATGCTGGATCAGGAATCTCTCCTTCTCCATTGCTGTCCCTCCATCTCACACCAGTCAATCTTCTCTAAGTGACTGACGTTCCACAATTTCCCTTGTCTCGAGTCTTCCGCCCTCTCTCTCTCACTGACTTCTCGAAAGTCTCTTGTCTCAAAAGTCCTAGTGCTAGACCAGAAGACTCCTCAGCCATTTTGCTTTGGGTCCTTCTAGATTGGGGACGCCCAGTCCAGAGGGTCACCTCTCATTTCTCATGGTGATTTGTTTAGCAGTGGGACACCGGCCCTAAATAGTCAACTGTGGATTTGTGGTCTGTCACCTTTCCTCTCTCGTGAGCCATGCCAACACTCCCTTTGCACACTCACGAGCGAGATCATGCCCAACCAACTCATTTTATTTTGTAACACTGCTTGGCCACAATATAAACTAGATAATAAGTCTCAAACAGCACTTTTAATTTTAACACATTGCACAATTTAGATAATTGCTGTCACTGCAATGGAAAATGGTCAGAGACTCCCTACGTCCGGGCCTTTTTCACCCTTTAATCCCAATCCTCTCTCTCAGTCCTGCTCTCCCCATCAGGTCTTTCTCCTTCACACAAAACATCATACCCCTCCCTAACACTTCTAATTCTGAATCTACTTTTGACCCAGCAGACCACCAACCTCTAACCACTTACACATCCCCTCCCTCACCTGCAGTAGATCCCCCAAACCCAGACCCTCCTAACCAGCAACCACCATCTCCCCTAGCCCCTGAGAGCCCAAATCCCCAAAATGCATGCTCCAAAACAGCCTTTTCCCACCTAACACTTGCTCTCCTGCCACCCAAAGACCACCTTCCTCAACAGCCCCTTCTATTCCTGCCCCCATTCTACACCTGAGGGAGGCAGCAGGAACTGAGGATATTGTGGTCAATTATGACAAACTTAGTGAAATCACTCAAGACCCTGATGAAAACCCAGCTCTCTGTCTCTTCCTCCTCATGGAGGCCTTACAGAAATTTACCTCCTTAGACTCCACCTCCCCAAATGAGCCCTTCTTCTGAACACCCATTTTATAATACCAATCAGTTCCCAACATACGCCACAAACTTTGACAAATAGACACAGGTCCACAAACCGCTCGACAAGACCTCGTTAACCTGACTTTTAAAGTCTTTAATAATAGAGATAAGGAGACCCAAATCCCAAAACAAAGGTGAGATCAGGCCAAGGCTGAGGCCCAGAAGGAATCCTTCTAGCTCCTAGCCAACACTCTCATGAACCCCAAACAAAGTGCCAGTCCTCCTCCTGAACCCAGGGTAAGTCAGGGGCTCAGCCTCCTCTGGGCCCATGCTTCAAATGCAACAAGGAAGGACACTGAGCCAAGTTCTGCCCAAGCCCGAGACCCCCGCCTGGGCCCTGCCCAAGGTGCGGAAGGAAAGGCCACTGGAAATCAGACTGTACTCTGGCCCCTCTGGGTCGGACCTCAGCCAGTCCAGCACGGCAGCCCTCTGGATCCGGTTTGGAACCCCCAGACCTCCTTGGACTGGCCTCTG